ACCTATTAACTCTTTTAATTTTTAAGCAAATCCAGTTTTCTTTTTTTTTAATTGTAGCTATCAAAATTACGCATCGAATGGGTAAGCCGGATTTTTGATTTATGCCCTAGTTCGGCAGAAAAAACCGAAAAACCCGAAAAAAATGGTATCCACTTGTACGTTCGTTATCATATCTCGGTTCAAACAGTACAACTTCTGACGATTTTTAGTGACCGCGTAGCCAAAGAGATTTGCTATCGATCAAAAAAAAGATTCGGCCAAAACGGACTGAAATGAACCTAGTTAGGAGCTTTCAAAGAAAATTTCTACAAAATGTCAAAAATGGGGGTGCGCGATCGCTACGGTATTTAAGGGAAGAAGAGGGCGGAAAGTTTGTGATTTACAAATGCCAATGTTTGCAGAAGGGGTTGAAGATCCAGCAAAATTATAGCTCATCAACAAGAAAAAACAAGAACTGGAACAGATGAAAATATAGAGAAATAAAGAACCGTAGATGATACTTTTACGACACGCATTATCTACTCGGTAAAAAGTCGCAGCAGATGTACAGGGTGGCTCATAATTACCCGAACAAACGTTTGAACTACCATAAAGTTTGAATGAAGCGTCGTACTGAGCTCAAATTTGGTATGCAACAATTTACAATACTCATCAATAAACTGGCCAAATTTCAAATTATTTGATCAATTTTGAGCAAATTTATCGCTTGTCAAAAATGCTTTATCTCATGAAAATCTCATGAAATCATAAAAATGTCCTTTTTAGTGCAAATTCAATATGTACTAACGGAAGTCTAAATAAGTTTTTTGTAGTATGAGTTTTAAAAATGCAAGGATACAACCTTCATTTATCATTTTTTATAGTTTTGAAAATATTATAACCACCAAGGGTCCCGTAATGTGGTCACTAACAACATAAGCTTTCGAGTGCACGCGACTTTTCTGTCTTTTTAGGTCAACTTTGCCTACCCATAAAAACCCTAGAAATAATTATGCGTGGCTGAAAATTGATGAGTGTCAAAATCAACTCTTCCGTAATCATATTTTAAAATTTCAGAGTGCTACGAAAATAATAAAATTGGTAGTCACTAGTTTTCCAAGAGGCCATTTGAACATATTCGGCTTTTTGAAATAAATTGACTTAACGATCTAATTTTTATGTCTTTTTGTGTTGAAATTTTATGAAAATTAAACCAAAAATGGTTACAAGAACTTGTAGCCCTCTCAACGCATTTTCATTGAAATTCGGTTCACAAGGCAAAATTTAACCCAAATTCTAAAAAAGGTAGGATGACTATTAAAATGATATCTCTGGAAAGATGCATCCAACCAACGTGAAATTTTGTACGCGAACAGTACTTATGTGTGTCTTACTTTCGACAAAATTTCAATCAAATCGTATAATCTAGCATGAAGTTACATCAATACAAATGAGGAAACAAGAAACATTTCGCCGTTCATCTTCGGGCAATCATAAAAATACTGAAACTTGTTGAAACGTTTTAAAAATTTCAGCAGGTGTGTATGAAACATAAAGGTACATTTCTGCCAATTTTCATACTTCCATCATACTTATGCCCAAAGATATAGCCGTTTTCATTTGTACGGGTAATTATGCGCCACCCTGTACAGCAACTTAGGCGATCCCAACAGATGTGCAGCGACTACACTACTGTTGTGTAGCTTTTTGAGGCTCGCATCAACATCGCAGCATCAATGCATCAACTGCGTGTAGGTTTTTGGCTTAAAACTGCGGAAGATGATTGATGAAGATGATTGCTGCGAATTTTTACAGAGTACATTTGAAAATAAACGAATCAATAAATTTTGCAAAACAGTGATATTTTTCAGCAACCGACCAACTTGTTCATAATGTCTTATAATTTATGATCTAATTGAAACAGTGACTTTTAAATATTTAGAAAAATGCATCGTGAACAGTTCAGAAAACTATGAAATAAAATTATATGAGCAAATTGGAACAGCAAAAAATATCAAACACGGAGCCCTCACACATTAACCCAATTTATTTAGTTTCCGGTAAAAGGTATCAAAAAGTGATCAACTGATTAAAAGTTTATCATAATATCACCAAAAATTTCAGTTGAGCACTTTTCGGTACCGTTTACAGGAAATGATATAAAACTGGGTCAAAGTTAGGCGGACACTTCTATTACAAGATCAACGGGATGTTGTTGAACTTGTTGTCTCAAAAATGCTGATTTCATCCACTGCGAAAAAAACACGAAATCGAAATTCCACATTTCAGTTAAACTGGCTGTAAATATTGTGAAAAATTTCAGAGGCAACATAGAAATGTTTTTTTTGTTTTTTTTAATGTTTTTTTTGTAGATAATACTACACTTGAACAATACATATACAACTTTTGAACAAAATTAGATGATTAGAAAGGAGTTTATTTCCGGTCGGAAATGGCATACTCAATGAATTTTTCGGTTTTTCGCAAGTTTAGCGTAAATAGAGATTTGCCGGCCGCGGTCGATTTTCGCACAGCCTTGGTTAGTTCAAAACGAAATTTCAAATGCAAAACTCGAATGAACAAAGACCAAATGGCTAAATTACGGTACCCTGATTTTTGAAACCATTAGAAGATATAAATGCAACAGAGAAAAAAAAAGTAGAGAATAAAACTCACGACATACTGCCAACGGGTCGTTTTTTTTCTCTATGTCCATCCACGAACAGAATACATTTAGTGTGGGAAAAAACGAAAGAATAGGTGATGAAAAATGGAAAAGGAGGAACGAGAACTTTGATGAAGAAATAGGGGACACTTGGATGTTCTAAAATAATTGAAATTTCAGAAACAAGAAAGGAGTGATTTCAGTTAGGTTTTCTATGAGTTTCGAAATTGATAGAACTGTCATTCGGATGAACAAAATAAAGTCTAGAATAGTCTTGACAACCAAACCATCCGTTTGTGGTACTAATGAAACAGTGATTTTTGTTGGTCAATTTTTCTCAAAATTGGGAACCAGAAATCAAACTACTAGATTGAAAAAAGAATAGAAATTTCAAAACACAGGTATGTACAGTAAATGAAATAAACCTATTTCAGTTGACTTTTGGAAATTTTGACAATTTTCGGTAGTCTTTTGCTTGGCTGTCAAGTGTCCGATCACTTTGAAAATTTTGGAAGGTGTTAAACATCCATAGATTGAAAACTGAAAATGGACAAATCCAACTGAAACGTTCGTTTTTGTATACCTTATTGACCGATAATTCATCAAGCCGCATCAATCGAAACACAAAAATACATAACTTTGGGAAGTAGTTGAAACAGAACTGAAAATTTGGGAATTTCAGATTTTTCTTGGGACTTCAGATAATGATTTCAAATCAAGACAAATTCCAGAATTTTTTTGCGAAAAATTATGTTGAAATTTATTTATTGGTAATTGCAAATCAAGTATTGAAGAAGTAGGAATCAATAAAGAAGTAGGAATCAGTCATGTAAACTTCCTGAAACAGAAACTAAAAAAACCAAAAAGACAGGTTTTAGGGAATTTTGAAAGGAGAACTTTTTATGTTTTTTCTGAATAATCGAGAAAAAGCAGTAAGATCTTTTCAATTCCTTAATACTTCGAAGTCATTGTTTCCCAGTTATTTTGATAATCTGATGTTTTCATGAAGGCAAACGGATTTCCAGCTGTGTAAATATAGTGAGAATTATGTAGCTTACTCATGATGCTCACCGACTATACTATTGCTTGAAATTATATGTTTTCTCAATCTCCTTATTGAAATTCTATGTTTTCTCAATCTCCTTTTACTCAAAACTGTAATTACCCTAATTCTGTAAATTTTGAAAGACAAGATCTTTCTTTTTTCGGATTTCAGAACTCGGAGCTTCAACTACTGTAACTCAACCATATTTAAAGCAAGTTTAATAATTTTTGCAGTTTCGAATATCGCATAAATAAAGCTTCAAATATGTATACATGAGTACAAACAATCACTCAAACAAAATATGAATTTTTTGTCCCGAAAATTATTTCTGAAATTTTTCATTATTCTGAAAATTATAGGAAATTGAAGTAAATATTTCCGTTTCAAAATGTTTTCATTAATTCATTAAAGTGCTAAAGTTGTTATTAAAGTGCTAAAATTGGTATTAATTTCAGCGAATTTGTGGTTTTGAAAAGAAAACAAAACTTAAAATATATTTGCAAAAATTCAAAACCCCTGAAAACGATTGATTTCTGATCAAAAAGATAAACGGGGTCAAATGGGATTTATCAGACACAGAGAATCGTGCAAAAAAGAGAGGGCCGAGAGAAAACGACAGAAAAAAGAAGACACTGCTCCTTTATCTTTCGACAATTGAACTTTACAACTGTCTGATGGAATTAGACAATGAAAAAATACTACTAATAACAACTTATTGGAGTTCTTCGGACAAGAAAAAACTCATTTTAAAAAGGGACCAAAAATTTGAAAAAAAACAAACTGTCTTATAGTATATGAGTTAATTGAAACGGTGAATTTCAAGGTTCATGAAATATGAAAAACACAAGCCTTCTCTTTGACCCAACTTATCTAGTTTTCTCTAAAAGATATCAAAAAGTGGTCAACTAACAAAAAGTTCATCATAATATAACTTACTTTTCATCAATTTATTACTTGTTGATATCTCTTACAAGAGCCGAGATAAATCGGGTCAAGGTGAGACACTAATTTTTCACTGTTTCATTAAGCTCATACATTTTTCATTGTTCGGTTTTCTGTAGTATTGCTTTGAATTCAGTTGCTAGCACAATTTTTTTACTCAACAGAGTTGGAGACAAAAATCATTGACTTTTTTCTCCAAAAAGAGATCAAAAGATAAAAAAGCACATTGAGTTCAAGAAGTCCACACAAAATAGTTTCAAAATTTGGCAAAGCATTGAGATCAGGAAAAAAGAAGCAAGAAAGCGATAGAGTGAGGGAGAAGCACAAAAAGATAATTAGGTAAATTAAGAGAAATGCTGATTGATCCAATTAGAAGTAGGTGTCGGTGAAGACTCCGCGAGCCATTGTCAAGTCCATATCGAGATCGTTAAGTTCAACGGTTCTGAAACTATCAATTTGAAAATTAGCAGTTAAAAGCTGAAATTTTCTGTTTCATATTGTTCTCATAAGAAAGCTGAGCGATTGAAACTTTATTAGGTCGAACCTACATATACCGAAAAATCACTCACCCCTCTCCAACTGGATAGTACTTCGGAATCTTCTCAACGGCCTTGATGGTTCCCCATTTGGTGCAATTGTGCTTGACAATGACGGAGATGGTGTAGAACTTCTGGAAATTTCGGTATTCCTCAGCTTAAAATTTAGAGTTAGAGGCTCACATGAAAGGGCTCATCACCGTCTTCCTGACCAGCAAGAACGAATGGATGGACTGCAGAAGTGGTGCATCGGACACCCATATGATCGAGAAGGTCGTCCTTGCTGGAATTGGAAAATAAGCTGAAAATCAGTCAAGAATTCCGATTTGCGCCAAGGCACCTGGTTTGCGTCAAGGCACTAGAAATGCGTCAAGTCACTAAAGTGCACCAAGGTACCAGAAAAGTGCCAATGAACCAGAAAAGCGCAAATGCAATAAAAACGTCAATGCATCAAAACAGTGAGAATGCATTAGAAGTGAGTCGATGGACCAAAGTTGCGCTAATGCACTGAAATGGCGTCAAGACACCAAGACCGCCTCAAGAGTCCAAAAACATGAAAGGCGTCAAACTCGTGCCTATCACAAAACACGCCATGTCACCAAAGTTGCGCCAATGCACTCGAATTGCGTCAAAGCACTAGATTAGAGTTAAAAGCCATAGAACTGCCGCAGGGTCATGTAACACGCGCCATATGAAAAAGATGGGCCAAAACGGCACTAGCTAGAGTACTCTGAGAAACTGAAAGTGAGTCAAAGCACTAGATTTACGTCAAGGGAGCGCTACTGCGCTAAAACCGTATTAGGGAGCCCGAGACCGACTATACCCCCAGAGTCATGCACCAAGATCATATAAGGCACCAAGACCGCGCCAAGTAACCGAAATCACGTCAAGACACCCAAAAAAACTTACAAGAAGTGATCTCTCTCGATGAGCTCCGCGTAAAAACACCACGTGCCTCCCTGATAGCATGCTAGATCTCCCCACGCCTTGAAATTGGTAGGGGTCCCGAATGGAACAATTCCGAAAAGAAGAAAAACCACAAATACTTTCATTCTTTTCAATATCTTTCATTGCTTCTCACTCAGTTTATATACTGTTTGGGGGCGTGGCTTATTTTGAAAAAGGGCCGTGGCCTTATTCAATTTCGTTTCTATTCCGTTTTTGGCATTTTCCCCTTTTTTCAATTAAAATCGTATACAGAAATGATGGATTAGAGGGGAGAGGGAAGAAATTGAAATTTAAAAATCCGTGGGTGTCCAAGATTTCCATATAGATCGAAAAAGAACCACCGAAAAGAAGAAATAGGGTGGGTGACGAAGATTGATGGAGGCTTTTTTCTGGGTAAGGAGAAACCGAAAATTGGTGATGAATCAGTATTTTTTGAGAATTTAGAAACTATTAAATCAGTGAAACTCTTCTAAGTTTTTTTATAACCTTGCAAGATCATTGAAAAATCTACTGATCAGAAATCGAAAAGTATGTGTTTATCAACATGTTTCTTCAAAATTAAAGTGACGAATTTTTTAATGTTTTATTGTCTTGATGAACAAGATTTACACTTTCATTTAATCACAAGGCTGTCGGAAACAGGGTCTTCAAACAAGTTCAAAAAAAAACTTCATTTATTTAAATTTACAGAAAAAGTGGTATTCTTCAAAACCAATCATCTCATCGGACTTATAACTATCCTTAGCGATAAAATGGCAGTCCAAACCTCGCACCTTTGTACTTTCTCATTTTTCTTGGTTTTCCTTCAACTTTGAACATACTCAGTGACTCATCACATTTGAAAATATTTGTTTGTGGATGACAAATAAATTTGCATCCATTCGGTAGTTGATGTTCTTCGGGCATATGAACGTTCACAAACCGGTTCTTTCCAATTATGCACACTTAAAATTAGCACATTCCACTTTTCGAAATTGAAGAGTGACTTACTACGTTTTACATTTTGGTTGCCCTGATCGCATGACCACCAAGCTCCTTTCACATAATCCACCTGCGAGCCGTGGTATACAACGTTGTCAATTGTACAGACCCGTTCTGAAAATCAATTTTGCATTCATTTAAATGTTTCAGAGTAGGACCTGCATCCTCGGCGACTTTCTCAAGTTTCACGACACCTGGTTCACTTTCAACACACTTCTTATACTGGTTATCAAGATAATAATCCTGAACTTCGTTCAGTCTATATGGCAGTGCGTTTGCCCATGTCACGAGAGAATCATCAATATCCGTAGAGTTGCGAATGTCGTGGTGTAAACACCCTGAAAAATGTCGTTTAGCTTAATTTGGTCAATGTTCACTCACCAACTAATTTGTTTTCGAAATATCCATTCTCTGATTTCTGACACGACATCAATTTCCGCAGTGAGCTATCATTCCCTGGATTCGGCTCCTCCCATTCGGTATTAATCCGGTGGACTGTTCCATTATAATAGCATCCAGAGACTGGAAAACTTTAAGGTTTTCATGTCCTTTCTCCCTTAATTCGAACTTACATGCTTCACTAACTCGTCTAACATGCCCATCAAACCTGCTACACTTCACACGAACCATTCCGTTTCCAGACATTTTTGACTCTCCAACTTCTAATCGAGATTGGTCTGATACCAATTCTGGCTTTTGGTAGGCCCGATATGAGTCCACATCCCTGTAAGCACACGCAAAAGCTTCCTCATCTGGATAGTTGTCCTCATCTCGATGAGTTAATTCCCAGTAAAGCCCGTGGTGCAGCATGGGAATTCTCCAAACATCGAACTTGTTAGTATCTGAATCATTGAAATCATCAAACTATATTTAGATTTTTAAAAACTCACAAGAGGGTTCACTAATATTCTCTCCTGTCTTGAAATTGTTATACACAGCAAAATGCACAAAATTCTTATCGAATTGATTCTGGAAAACCATTGGGAATAAATCGCCACTGTCTTTCGTGTTATGGATTGAATCAACTAGGGCCAAGGATGATGGAATCCATAGTAAAATAAAAATGATCAGCAGCATTTTTCGGGGGTGGTTGAGATGAATTGAACCGTTTTATACCGGGATGATCGTGATGAAACTATACAATATTCTGTTGATTCAGCTTGATGGAATTAACGTGAATTTTCAGGATTTTTTCGGTGGTCAATGTTTACCTAGAGGGCCGTGAAAGTGGACTATAATAAACGTCGGAAAAAAGGTTAAAATCATTGTTCCCCGAGATATCATTCTTTCGAGTCGAAATGAATTTTATTGCTGCTCTTGTCCAAATTCTCCGAAACATTAAAAAAAGAGCCGATGATGATGTGACAAAAAAAATAAAGCGAAACGCCATGACTTTGAAAACTCATAATTTCGGAGTTTCTGAGTTATCGTATCCGTAATATTTTTTCAGATTTTTCTATTCCTTTTACATTAGGCTAATTAAAATGTTTTTTAATCATTTTATACATTTAATTTCAAAATTTTCACGTATAATAATCACATTTATTTTTGAATTCACAACAATTTTGTTTGAAATGCTTTATTTCAAAACTTCATTTATTCAAATCTACAGAAAAGGTGTTATGCTTCAAAACCAATCATCTCATCAGATTTATAACTATCCTTAATGATCAAATGGCAGTCCAGACCTCGCACCCTTGTACTTTCTCATTTTTCTTGGTTTCTCTTCAATTTTGAACATGCTCAGTGCCTCATCGCATTTGAAAATATTCGTTTGCGGATGGCAAATAAATTTACATCCATTCGGTGATTGAAGTTCTTCAGGCAAATGCACGCTTTCATAACGGTTCTTTCCAATTTTGCAGTCTTAAAATTCACACATACTACTGTTCAAATTGGACGAGAACTTACGAGTTTTTCTAACTCGACCAGCATTGCATTCCCATTGAACTCCTTTCACTTCATCATCATAGAAGTCCTTGAAAACAACGCTGTTAACTGTACAGACAGGTTCTGAAAAACAGTTTACAATTAGTTTTAATTATAATTTTTCAGCGACTTACCATAATCCTCTGCCATTTTCTCGAGTTTCACGACACCCGGTTCACTTTTAACACACTTTTTCCACTGCTATTCAGAATCAAAAACGTCATTCAGTCTATATTCGAACTTGTTTACCCATGTCTCGACAGAATTATCACCATTTGTATAGTTGCGGATTTCGTGGATTGAACATCCTGAAAAATATCGTGTAGCTCGGTTTGGTCGATGTTCACTCACCAACCAATTTGTTTTCGAGATATCCATCATCTGATTTTTGACACGACATGCTTTTCCACAGTGAGCGTCATTCCCTGGATTTGGCTCATCCCATCTTTCCTGAGCCCTGTAGACTGTTCCATTGTAATAGCATCCAGAGACTGGAAAACTTGAGGTTTAGTAATTTTAAAGTTCCCCCCATTTAAACTTACAAGCCTCACTAACTCGTCTAGCATTCCCGCCGAACTTGTTACACTTCACACGAACCGTCCCGTTTCTAGACATTTTCGACTCTCCAACTTCTAATCGAGATTGGTTTGATACCAATTCTGGCTTAAAAAACGCCAGAAAACGGTCCACGTCTATGTAAGCACACGAAACGGCTTCTTCACCTGGATAATTGTCCTCATCTCGAGCAGATGGTTCCCAGTAAAGCCCGTGGTACATATTCACACTCGTTGCAGAGATCGCAGTACGGAATCTCGTACTATCTGAAAATTTGAATATAAATGTTTCCAAATTGCTACAAACGCACAAGAGGGAACACTAATATTCTCTCCTGTCTTAAAATTGTTAAAGACATCAACAACTACGAAATTCTTATCGAACTGATCTTGCCAAACCATTTATTTATTTATTTATTTATTTCGACGAAGGGGAGAAAACCACTAACACGTGAAATGTCTATGAAACTAGGAGATATAACAGGGACATACATTTGTAGTAATTGGGAGATGAAGGAAAAACCGAGTTAGTAATTAGTTGAATTCAAGACAAGAAAATGTTTTAGATCACAGGATAATAGTCGATTTTTGAAAGCCGCTGACGAGGGCTTCACCGGAAACACTTTGGCGGGTAAAGAGTTCCAACATCTGATTACTCTATTAGAGAGAAATTGAGAAGATATTTTTGTTGAGTTTTTGATAAGTGATTTGAGATAGTATTTGTGACGACGCAATGATCCAGCATGATTAAATATTTCGAAAATTGGAACCTCCATGATAATTTCTTTGGAAACAATAATTTTATACGTGTAGACCAAATCATTATAGAGCCTGCGATACTCCAAGGAACTTAGCTGACATTCATCCAGTGCTTCAAAGTATGAAGTGTATGCCATCCTGAATTTTTTGAAAATTCTGAAAACAAATGACTTTTGAACCGATTCCAATTTTATAATATGATCTTTTAGGATTGGAGAAGTGACCATATTCGATATTCGAGTAAAGGGCGTATGTAAATTGTATAGCATTTTATAAAAACACTCCACGATGCGTTTTTTAGAATGGAAAAGAACCATTGGATATAAGTTTCCAGTGTCTTTAGTGTTATGAATTGAATCAACTAGGGCCAAGGTTGGTGGGATCCATAGTAAAACAAAAATGAACAGCAGCATTTTTGTAATGGTTGAAAAAAATCGGGTCATTTTATACAGAGATGATCGTGATGAAACTAAACAATATTCTGTTGATTCAGCTTGATACAATGAATAGGCGTGAATTTACAGGATTTTTTTTTCGGTGGTCAATGTTTACCTAAATGGTCATAGAAGTGTTAAAAAATTTAGAAAAGGCGCAAGGAGTGTAAAAATGGAATTTTTGAACCCCGTGTTAAAAATAATTTCTTTCAGTTACAGTATGCACTTTGAAGTGCAGACTGATCGTCGCGCAACATCCAACGATGAGCTCACCTATTGTATACGCCGTCCCCTCTTGTTGCAGTGTGGTCCATAGATGTACTCATTAAAAAATTGTACATTTGTTCGCACGATCCGAGTTCAAGCCGGACAGATGAATTTTTTCGTGGGAATGTTTTTCTCATTGGCTAAAAAGTAATGGAAAACAGAGTTTCCAAATTCCAATATGATTTTTTCAGGTCGAGAGTGCTGCTTTTGTCCGAATGCCCCGAAATAAAAAAAAGAGCCGATGATCACATGAAAAAATAAAGCTGAATGCATATTTTCGAAGTTTTAGAATTCTCAATTGTCATCATTCGGATCTTCTCGATTTCTGAACCAAAACTTCGAATTTTGCCTTTCTCATTTTCACAACTTACGAGTTTCTTAAATTCTGAATTTACGAAAAGCTGAAAATGGAGATTTCTAAGTCCAAAAATATCAGACACTAACAATTTCGTAAATTTGAAACACTCTTCGTGTCAAAAAAAGTCTCAAAACCTGAAACTATGAACAACGTTTCGAGGTCTATTTTCTTTTCAAATTTTTAAATCCATTCATCTTTAAAACATTCAATATTAGTATTTATTAACCCATGAGACGGAAAAAACGGAAAACGAAACAATTGAAATTTGTGGAGTTATTTTGGAGTGCATTTATTATTTGGAAAATTCATCTATTCAAATTCACAGAAAAACGTGTTATTTTTCAAAACCAATTATCTCCACAGATTTATAACTATCTTAAACGATAATATGGTTTCCCAGGCCCACCCTCGTACTTCCTCATTTTTCTTGGTTTTCCTTCAATTTTGAACATTCTCAGCGATTCATCACATTTGAAAATGTTTGTTTGGGGATGGCAAATAAATTTACACCCATTTGGTAGTTGATGTTCTTCAGGCGCACCGACGTCCACAAAACGGTTCTTTCCAATTTTGCATTCTTAAAATTTTTCTTCAAAAAAACATTCTTAAAATTGTCGGCCAAATTGACGCTCACAAACCGGTTCTTTCGGATTTAGCATTTTTGAAATTCATACATTCTGCTGAGTAGAACTTACGCCATTGTTCAAATTTGAAAAGTACTTACGAAGCTTTTCATTTCGATCATCACGGCAATACCACCGAACTCCTTTCACATCATCATCCCAGATATCCTTGAAAACAACGTTGTCAACTTTACAGACAGGTTCTGAAAATCACGATTGCTTTAATTTCAATGTTTCAGAGTTGTACCGTAATCCTCGGGCATTTTCTCAAGTTTCACAACACCGGGTTCATTTTCAACACACTTTTCCCACTTTCCTTTATAATAAGGATCAGTAATTTCGTTCAGTCTATATTCAATCTTGCCTGAAAATCTCTCGACAGAATTATCGATAGTCGTATAGTTCTGCTCTTCGTAGACTGAGCATCCTGCAAAATGTCACATAGCTCAATTTGGTCAATGTTCACTCACCAACTAATTTGCTTTCGAAATATCCATTATCTGATCTTTGACACGACATTACTTTCCACAGTGAACTATCATTCCCTTGATTTGGCTACTCCATTCGTCACGCAACGGCGTCTTCATCTGGATATCTGTCTTCATGTCGAAATGATGTTTCCCAGTAAAGCCCGGGGTAGTAAAGCCCGGGGTACTTGTATCTGATGCTATCTGGAAGTTTGAAGTTTCGAAAAGGCTTCTAATTTTCTAAACACTTACAAGCAGGATGACTAGTATTCTCTCCAGTTTTAAAATTGTTATATACTTCAAAACGCACTAAATTCTTATCGAATTGATGTTGCCAAACCATTGGATATAAATCTCCTGTGTCTGTAGTGTCATGAATTGAATCAGCTAGGGCCAAGGATGTCCATAGTAAAAAAAAATTAAATGCGGCATTTTTTTGATGGCTGAAATAACTCGGGTCATTTTATACCGGGATGAAATTATATAGCATTTTGTTGATTCAGCTTGATGGGCTTAGCGTGAATTTTCAGGATTTTTTGGTGGTCAATGTTTATCTAGAGGGTCAAGACAGTGTACTACATATACAGGGTGGTGCATAATTACTTGCACAAAAGTTAGGAGTGCAACAATTCAAATAACTCATCAAGAAACTGGTCAAATTTCTAATTATATGGTTGACATTGAACTGACAAGTTATCGCTTGTCAAAGTTATTTCATCTTATGAAAATCTCATGAAATCATGAAAATGGCCCTTTTAGTGCAAATGAAACATGTTTTAACGGAAACATAAATAATAACGTCTCTCGTAGTATTTTCTTCTGAAATGTGAAGACACAATCTTCTTCTATCATTTCACATAGTTTTAAAGTCATTTCAATTACCAAGGGACCCGTACTGTGGTCAGTAACAATATAAGGTTTGGAGTGCACGCGGCTTATCTGCCTTTTTAGATCAACTTTGCCTAACCATAAAAACTGTAGTAACAGTAGTGAGTGGCTGAAAATTCATGCGTGTCAAGATTAATTCTTCCGAGAAAAACATGTGTAAAAGTTTCAGACTGCAACAGACTACAGTAATTTTCAACTTTTTGAAATAAATTGACTGAACGACCTTAAATTCATGGTTTTGGGCGTTGAAATTGCATCGGAAACGTTTATTAGAGTTTGTTGTCAACGCATTTTTTGGAATTCGGATCACAAGGCAAAATTTGACCCGAATCTAAGCAAATTGTAGGGTGATTAGTACAGTGATACCTCTGGACAGATGCACCCAACCTTAAAATTTCGCGTGAAAGCAATGTTTACAAATATGTGTCTCACTTTTGCAAAAATTGAGTCAAATCGTACAATCTCGCATGAAGGTAAATCAATACAAATCAGGAAACACCAGCGTGCAAGAAACATTTCGCCGTTCATCTTCGCGCAATCTTAACATTATGAAACTTGTATGATGAAACTTGAAACATTTTGAAAACTTTGGTAGATGTGTATCAAACATAACGGTATATTCCTGTCAATGTTCAATGTTTCTATTATACTTATTTCCAAAGATATATTCGTTTTCATTTGTGCATTTGTGCGGGTAATTATGTGCCACCCTGTACATTAAGCCAATTAACATTCTTTTTCAATATTTAACATTCATTCAACTTTCAAACATCAATCTTAAATTTTATTAAACCAGAGATGGAAAAATTTAAACCGAAAAATCGAAATTTTTGCAGTTACTACGGGAACTTTATTTATTCAAATTTACAAAAAAGTGTTATTTTTCTCAATCACTCATCATGTTTATTATTATCCATTATGGATTTAATGTCGTAGCCAATGCATCGAGCCATTGTACTTTCTCATTTTCCTTGGTTTTCCCTCAACTTTGAACATGCTCAGCGATTCATCACATTTGAAAACATTTGTTTGTGGATTACAAATGAATTTACATCCATTTGGTAGTGGAACTTCTTTAGATAGAATCGGGTCCACATAATGGCTCTTTCCAATTTTGCATTCTGAAAATTTGCACATTTTATTATATCTTTTATGAGAGCTCACGAAGTTTTCTAACTCGACCATCATTGCATTCCCACCGAACTCCTTTCACATCGTCATCCCAGATATCCTTGTGAACAACGTTGTCAACTTTACAGACAGGTTCTGAAAATCACGATTGCTTTAATTTCAATGTTTCAGAGTTGTACCGTAATCCTCGGGCATTTTCTCAAGTTTCACAACACCGGGTTCATTTTCAACACACTTTTCCCACTTTCCTTTATAATAAGGATCAGTAATTTCGTTCAGTCTATATTCAACTTTCCATACCCATGTCTCGACAGAATTATCAACATTTGTCCAGTTGTGAGTTTCATGGATTGAACATCCTGCGAAAATATCGTGTAGCTCAATTTGATGAATGTTCACCCACCAACTAATTTGCTTTCGAAATATCCATTTTCTGATCTTTGACACGACATCTTTTTCCACAGCGACCTATCATTCCCTGGATTTGGCTCCTCCCATTCTTCATGATTCTGGTAGACCGTTCCATTGTAATAGCACCCAGACACTGGAAAACTTGAGGTTTAAATATTTTCATGTTACCTCTCCTTTAATTCAAACTTACACGCTTCACTAACTCGTCTAGCATTCCCGCCGAACTTGTTACACTTCACACGAACCGTCCCGTTTCCAGACATTCTCGACTCTCCAACTTCTATTCGAGATTGGTCTGATACCAATTCTGGCTTTTCATATAGCAGCTGTTCGTCCAAGTCGGTGTAAGCGCACGCAACGGCTTCTTCATCTGGATAGTGGTCCTCATCTCGATAAGTTGCTTCCCAGTAAAGCCCGTAGTAAATATGCTCGACTCTTGGAGAGCCCGTAATACCGAATCTTGTGCTATCTGAAACTTTACTATCATCAAAATACCTCCAAATTTCGAAAAACGTACAAGAGGGTTCAGTAATATTCTCTCCTGTCTTATAATTGTTATACACAGCAAAATGCACAAAATTCTTATCGAACTGATCTTGCCAAACCATTGGATATAAGTCTCCAGTGTCTTTAGTGTCATGAATTGAATCAACTAGGGCCAAGGATGATGGAATACATAGTAAAATAACAATGAACTGCAGCATTTTTTTGGAAGTGGTTGACAGGAATTGAACTGTTTTATACCGGGATAATCGTGATGAAACTAAACAATATGATGTTGATTCAGATTGATGGAAATATTTTCAGGATTTTTTTTCGGTGGTCAATGTTTACCTAGGGTTCCATGATAGTGTAAATTTAGACACTGCGACTTTTTTACTCTTCCTTATTCTCTTTGAAGGTCCCTTGAACAGTACGGGTCCGTTTTATTCCTCCATTTTCGATTACCCCAATTAAAATGCTTTTTTTCAATCAACAAGTTTATTTTTAACATCAAATCATAAATTAGATTCAAATTTGATTTGAATAGAAATTTGGGTAAAACCGAGAGGAGATCGCAAAAAAAAAAAAAAAGAACTAATAGTAGGAAAAAGAGCGACAGAAAAGATCAGAAAGCAAGAGAGAGCGAGAGAAAGACAGAGACGCAGAGAGAAGAAAAACATTTTAAGTGAGGCGCCATAAATTAACATAAATTAAAAGAACGATGTGTCCTTCTTAGTACAAATCCTTGACAACCTCTCCGATTCCCTCAGTTTGTGTGAAATCGTAGCTTGGGTTGAACTCAAAGAACCTGAAAATCCAGAATCTAGTTGACGTTAATTACCCCTAATTAACTCACTCCTGCTCAACTGGCACATCTTTTGTGCGACTTTGAATCACTCGAACTGTTCCGTACCTACTGCAGTTGTGCTTGATGTGAAGTTGAATTGTGAACGTTTTCTGAAGAAATAATTCAAAAACGGACACTGTAAGGAGTACTGTACCTGAAGTATTCCCGTCTCCTGTTTCCCTTCTAAGTGGTATGGAAGCATGGCGCTGTCTGTGCAATGGATTCCTTGATGGTCGATTTGATCGTAGGTTCTGGAATAAAAACATAGGTAGTGAAAAATCTGGGTCCGGCCACGTTCAAGCAGAGCCGCCGACCATAAACCATGTAGCAGCTGGTTAGCAGCCATACGGACAAATTGATTAATGCAGGAACTATAGCTTAGTTTTAGTTATAGATTAGCTACCTATAGCGTGGCTTATAAACGTTTAATTTATTCTTTAAAAAAAACTTAATGTCGAAGCCAGACCCCTGGATCTATGGTCCCATGCAACTTAAGTATACTGTACATTGAGCTTAATTATCTCAGTTCCTATAAAAACAATCAAAAAGCTATCAACTGATGAAATGCTTATCATCTTATTACCAACATTTTTGTAGTTGACCGTTTTTTGATATCTCTCATAGGAGCCGAGATAATTGAGCTCAAACTTTATCTATGGGCGACGTTCTATTGCCGCTAACGGTTACTTTTTTTGCGTTTTTGGTGCGGTATTTGAACTCCAGCAATACTCTAACAACTTTTTTCAAATTACTAGAGACCGCATAAAGCTTGGGGACCTCTAAAACTATGTAGGCTTAGCGACAGTGTAGCTCAAGCTGCGTTCAGCCGCTTCTCAGCCGCTGGCCCACAATCCCCAAATTTAAGGTTCTTGACAAAATCTAAACCCTAAATCTAAAAACCCCACAACTTACAGTAACATTTTCTCCACCAAAAACGCATGGAAGCACCATCTGCGTCCTTCATAGCAGTGTAGAATTCCCGAAGCTCTGAAAAAAGTCGAGCTGCTCAGCTGAAAGCCAGCCGCAAGCATCAAGAGTACCAAAAATAGCTTCATGGCGTCGAATCGTGAACACCAGTTCAACCGGGCTCCCTTTTATACAGCTCTTTGAAAAATGGGCGTGGCCAGGTTTTCCAATAAAGGTTTTCCAATAAGGTTGGAAGGTTTGTTCAATGACGAAGACGAGATAAAACGGGGAGATTGAAATATATCAATTCAGCTAGGGAACCGCTAGCCGAATAGTATGTCTGTTCGTGATGTTCTTTGTGTCAAGATTAGAAGGTTAGATTGAAAAAAACGCAGAATGCGAAATTGGCGGCAAGGAGAATGGGGGAGGGAGAGGTGGAGGAAGATTGATGAAGGTGACCTAACGTTCGAAAGATGTCAACCCGACGGGACAATAAAAAACCAAATAGGGGAAAACGTAACGACGTCGGCGGCGACGCCGCCATTTTCCTCTTCTTTTTTTGAGCGGTAGGGAATGGCACAGATTTGCAAATCGGTTGTCTAGGAGGGAGGAAAGATGCGACTTTGAAAAGTGTAATTGACGGTCTTTCACGTTGTTCTTTTTGTTTGATTGGACTATGCAAAGTGCAATCAAGGATGTTCAGAAGGCAAGGCTGTGGGAAATAGGAACGCGGATTGTTGGCTAGGGTAGTTCTACGGCGGCCTAGCGGCCCTAGAAATTTTTGGAGACCTGAGTTTTTTAGGAGGTTTGGTTCCCTACCAACTGCATTTTTTTCCTAGACAGCCTAGTGATAATACAATATTTTACGATTAAGGAATTGCGCACTCATCACTTTGACTTTATAAATCTCCTATCTGAAACCGTAAAAAACCTGAAACATCCTTCTCTCTTTTCCACCGTCTGTTCTTCCTCAAAATAGAAACCCGAACTGATATATCAAGTCTAGAATACTTTTGAACTTTAGATCCGAAAACCGGAAATTAAAGTTTTTTGAAGTCTGCTATAGTCAGAAAGGCGATGGAGGTGCTTCCTTCCGTTCGAGTTTTTAAAAATAGGAATAGTTTTTTGGCTCGACTTTTTTGTTTCCATATGTAGAGACCTAAAGTGCACAAAACACATTATGTGAACATCAAATTTCAAGAATAAATGTAATAAAATACTACACGGATTAAAGGGGGACTCCGACCAGAAATTTTTATTGCATTAAAATGTGTTAAAATTTATCTATTTTTCAAATATTATTGCGAAAAAATTCAAAGAAAATCCGAAATCCCCGAAAAACGGCGTTGAAAAGGAAGAAAATTCAAAAAAAGGTGCCGCCGGGGGACGAGGATTTTTAGTGAGAAACCT